GTTTATAGTATTTAAAACGGTATTAAGAGAAATCAGAAATCTATTATTTTTGTTATTTTGATTAATATATCCATTGGTTGTTTATCCCATTATAAAGTATTTTTTATAAACTGGTAGTTTAAAAATAATCCCTTTCCCTCTTCGGACAATCGGATTTAACGGACCACGCATTTTCACTATTAGTCCGTTGATGAGATGTTTCTGCAGTGAATTGTTACCACTTATTAAGCAGCTCTTTGATGTATTTTGCGTAAAATTCGCATGTAGTTTTAGAGAAAATGAAAACAAAAACGAAATTTATACTTAACATCAAGAAACGACATTTTAAATTTCTAGGGCACGAACTAAAAATATTTTCTTGGTTTAAATAAGTTGCAAAAGATTGATAAGCCGAAAAAAACATGTTAATCAATCAAATTGATTTAAAAAGAAATAAAAGACAAAGGGCTTGGGAAATTTGAAACTCATGATTGATTGAAAGCAAGAGGGTCAGAGAAAAACAACTCACAGCCTACCTAGAGAGAAAGAATAAATTGATGGTAGAAAAGGGCTTAAGAGAAATAGTAAAAAGGCAACATTTATTAAGAGCTACAAGGATAGGATATTGTGGAGAGCCGTGATAGACAACGTTATGAAAGGACACAGCACATAGAAGATGAAGATTCAGCAGACAGACCATAGAACACCGAGAATGCTTAATCAAGAAATAGGACGATAATGAAATGCGTTGATTATATTCCTGTTGGCTATGGCAAAACTAATTACTGGATTTAATAGCTTGACGGAATAAGGCTTCCAGAAGGACATTAATTTTGTGTCTTTCATGAGATTATTATTCCGACTAATTATGTTAGAGAATAGACCTAAAGAAAACAGAAGCGAAAAAAATAGTATTCAGTACTTAAATGTGAAAATATGCATCATTTGTTGTATTTCCGCATGGTTTTATTGAGGAAAAGTTTAAAGGCTTACAACCATATCATGTTTCAACACCGGTCCCTGTACGATCACCGAAGTTGAGTAACGTTGAGCCTGGTCAGTAAATAGATGGGTGACCGATTGAGAATACCAGTCCCTGTAAGCTTGGATATGCGGGTGGAGTGTAGATAATTGCTCGGAATTGTTAACTGGATTTTCGAGTTCCAGTTTTAGTTAGGTTCGTTAAATACACGTGCAAATACTCTTGGGAAAGGCATGAATCCACTTCTTCTTCCTCCAGTTATGGGTTAATTAGTAAGACTTGCATCACTAAAACATTATTGTCTGAAAAAAGAAAAGTTGTTAAAGACTAAAAATATTTTCTTGATTTAAATAACCTGCAAAGGGTTGATAAACCGAAAAAAATAAGTCAATCAATCAAATTGATTTAAAAAGAAACAGCAATCAGATATACTGGATGTTCATAAGTTCTCTTTACATTATTACAAAAGCGAATGAACAGATAATTATGGGGAAATTGTAACAAAATGAGAAGTAGGTACTGAATATTTTTTTTAACTAATTTAATGCATCTGTTTATAGGCGCCATTATTTGCACGAAGCACTTCAAAACGGTACTCGATTACTTGCCATGTTGATAAGCCGTAAAAAAAAACAAAAACAAGTCATTGAATCAAATTGATTTAAAATACAGTAATCAGATATACAGGATGTCCATAAATTCTATTTATAATTAAAAAAAAATCTTATTACAAAAGCAAATGAACAGACAAATATGTAGAAATTGTTATAAAATAAACAGTAGATATTGAAGTTTCTTTAACTGATTTAATAGAGTATCTGTCTATATTTCTGAGATGAGGTATTATGTAAACTATTGACATTATTCGGATTATTGTCCTCATCTTTGCCGCCATGTTTATCACAGCGTTTCGGCCGTTGTACGCTCCGGCCTTCTTCAGGTGGTTGGAATGTCGTCAGTCGCGAGCCATGCAGCGAACTGCCTGACTCGGGACAACTCCGGTAAAACGGGTAGTTGCTTGTCTGTTTTTTTTTTCTTCAACCGATTCTCTGTCAGTAGACAGAGCCCCGACTAAGTCATCTTCTGCCTGAAGACAAAAGTCTTGTCAGTCGCGAGACAGGCGGCGAATTGCCTGGTTCGAAACGGCTACCCATCTTACCTCTGACCTGGAGCTCTTTATAGTAATGAACTAATTAATATATTCACCGGGTGTGGACTATTTACTCCACAACACACACACACACACACACACACACACACACACACACACACACACACATTCACACATACATACATACATACATATTCATGGTGTCCATAAAATCTCTTTACAACAAAAAAAAACTATTACAAAAGCAAATAAACAGACAATTATGTGGAAATTGTAAAAAAAAATGAGGAGTAGGTACTGAATATTTTTTAACTAATTTAATGCATCTGTTTATAGGCGCCATTAGTTGCACGAAGGACTTCAAAACGGTACTCGATTACTTGCCATGTTGATAAGCCGTAAAAAAAAAACAAGTCATTGAATCAAATTGATTTAAAATACAGTAATCATATATACAGGATGTCCATAAATTCTATTTATAATTTAAAAATAAAACATTATTACAATAGCAAATTAACAGATAAATATGTAGAAATTGTTATAAAATGAAGATATTGAAGTTTTTTTTAGCTAATTTAAGTTTTTTTAGCTAATTTAATACACCTTTACATGGGCGCCATTATTGCATTAAGCACATCAAGATGGTACTCGATTTCTTGCCATATTTGTTGTATCATAGCCTCATCAATGTTGGCAATCGAATCAATGATCTTTTGCTTTAGATCAGTGATGTCTCGTATCTTTATTCGATACACAATATCATTAACATAACCCCATAGAAAGAAGCCCAGGGGAGGGATATCTGGTGAACGATGTGTCCCCACCCTTTCCAATCCTCCCGGTCTGGAAATGTTTAATTTAGGAACCTACAAACATGCAGTCCCTAATGTGGTGGTGCACCATCTTGCTGGAAAATGATGGTTGCTTTCAGATCAGTAGTGCCGCATCAATTGTAATAAGAACTTCTGTAGTTTCGCTGAGTCTGAGTATCTGATTTTGTTTCAATAAACCATGACCGGTCCTGGGTATGACGATAAACTACGTCCAACAGCAAGTCCCATTATCAGGAGGTTTTGAGGAGCTTGGAACCACCTCTTAATTGCTGGTGTTCCCAGGTTCACCCTGACTCGGGGTGGTAGCACCTGTCAGGGTCCCAGCTATGGGCAAATAGTTAACCACAAAACTGACGTAAAAAGCATTATAAAAGTGTAAAAATGTGTTTTAATACCAGAGATACTTTGTAAAAGAATTGTTACCAGAAATAATTTTTTGAAGAAAAAAAAACAAACTATTACCAGCAATATATTTTTGAAAGAAAATATTACGAGCAATACATTTTTTAAAATATTATTACCAGCTATACATTTTTAAGGAAAAAATATTACCAGAAATAGATTTTTGACAAAACAAAATATTACCAGGAAATAAAAAGTTGTCGGCATTAAATAACCCAATGAGGTTGTTATGCCGTAAAACACAACAAACCAAATCAAACCATGACAGGCATTGTACATTTTTTTTGAGGAGTAATAATTTTTAGGGGTTTATGTAAATGTACCTCTTTCATCAACAGCATACCTGAAATACACAAATCCAATGTGATTAAAAACTTTGATAATCCCTGAGTACATAGAACAAATCTGATTAAGATATCTCATCAACTGCATTTGTAATATAGTTTTTTTTAAACTGTAAAGAGCCTTTATAAACACTCTGCATAATATGTGTGGGAAAATATGATATACATCCCTTTATCTATTAGAAAAATGTTAGGAAAATTAATGACGAAGAGGAGAAAATAATATTGACACATTTCTGATGTAGACCTAAAGGAAAAAAAAGCATCACACATTTGATTCTACTTTGTTATAAATTTACCTAATATACGTGTAAAACTAACCTCAAGATGCATCATATCAAATCGACTTCTTAATCATTCCACAAACACCACTAAAACGAGAGAGATTACTGATTGTTAAAAAATATGATAAAATACTATTAAAGAGAGAAACCAATAACAAAAGTAGAATTAAGAAGATGGAAGATAATGACTGACATTACATTTGAATCAAAGTTGACTGGAGATCAAGAAATCGGAAGAGATTTCCACAAGCGAGAAGTGCGTTGGAAGAAACTGTTAGCGTAGAACTTACAGTTATATTTAGCCATTGTAACTGTAAAATAATAAAACCTTGCCACAAATCTAGTACTGGAATTAAATTCATAAAGCCTCGGTAGCAGAGCGGAAACATTATCAGAACAATTACAGTAATTCTCCATGTATAATACGCCTTCATCCATAATACGCACATCTAAAATTGTGCTTAAAGTGTAGGAAAATGCTTCTACTAATGCATAATACGCACCCCTTGTTTGGCAATCAAACCCTATAAATTGTGCCTCTACAATTTCATTACGTTCAGTTTTTCCTACTATTATTAAAAAATGGATTTAAATATAGAATAATAACTTAGTTTTATGATAATTCTTATTTTATTTTACGGCAATTTTTAATGATTTTTTGTAGCTCTGCATAATACGCACCGTTGATTTTGCTCATTATTTTTTTAGAAAAAATGCGTATTATACATGTTCAATTACGTTACCCTGTAGTATTTACCGAAGTATTTATAGAAAAGGCACAGGGAAGCTACATTACGGCCGTGGGAAATAACTGATATAGACTTATAAAAATGTAAGATGATCTAACACGGCCCAGTGAACCAACTTTCGTATCAGCAGAACCAAGAATTAATTCAATATAATCCTTTCACTTCATGTCAGCAGAAAACGTTAATCCGTGATTGTGCAACGAGTCACTCACACGAAGGTTAGCATTATTAACCCTGCTGATGGGAGACATAAAGGCGTCCCCCCAGAAGAGTGCACTTTCGTTTCGGAGGTATTAAAGTTAACATACCAGTATCACGTTGAAACACCGGTTCTCCTTCCGAACATCGAAATTAAGCAATGTCGAGCCTGGTCAGTACTAAGATGGGTGACCTATTCGGAATGTCAAGTGTTGTAAACTTGGGAATGTGCGAGTGAAATAATGGGTACTGACTTGGAATAAAAAATCAGAGACCTGATTTCGAATCCTAGTAGTGTCAGTTTTTTTCTAACGCTTCCAAGATGCCCTGAGACAGCACATAAATGGAAGTATCACGAAAATATCTGACAATGCAAGATGAAATTTGGAGATTGTTGAGTCATGTGTGTGCAGTTGTCGGACAGAGTGTTATGTGAGGATTCATTTTTAATTCATTGATAAATATTATTTGATATTTTTATTATTATTACAATAATATTTCGACGCAGAGTATCTTCGACATCATAGAAGAAAATGTTAATAAAAAATTAATTAAAAATTAATAGCAATAGTTAATCTCAGTAGTACACACACACAAAGGACCCAGGAAAATTCAAACAAAAATAATGAAGATATTCGATCGAATAAATAATGTCATTAAAAGAATATTTAATTTCTGAATTTCAGATATTTTTGAGAGAAAAGACAAAATAGTTCAACAATTCCGAATCTGAGTGATCAAAACAAATGAGATGTTGATAATCGATATATCTTGAAATAGGGGAATATATTTTCCCTTCGTATTTATGGGCAATGTTGTAGACGAAGGTGCAGCAATTCCTAATCAGAGTGATCAAAACAAATGACAATTGGATACTCGATACATCTCGAAATAATGAATTTACTTTCATCTCAGATTCCTTGTCTATGGTGGAGATAAAGCTGCAACAATTCCTAGGCATTTTCTCTTTTATTCTGGATATTGTTTTGGTGGCTATGGACAATCAAAGGTGAAAATCAACATTAATAATTTAAATTTTATTCATTCACTGAAAATGTCTATTCTGCATAGTTGCAGTATAAATCGGGGGTTGGGCCATATAGATGCTAAAGAAAGGCAATTCTACCTGAGCAGGCGTCTTCCATAGGGATTACCTGACAATAATAAGCATTTACTTGGTTCAATATATATATATATATATATATATATATATATATATATATATATATATATATATATATATATATATATGAGAAAGAACAAGTGGAGTAAAAATCAACAATTCGTAGCATTTACTCTTTTAAAAAAGTGCTAATACAAAGTTGAGCAAAATATTATTATAGTATTTTTATTATAAATAGATTATATTAAAAATATATAAAATTTTAAAATTTCCTTAATAAATCATTTCATCACTGGTTATCTACGATCGCCTGAAGAAGTACAATCATAGTCTTGAAATATGAAAGCTTTTGTGTAGCAATGTAAAATGTTTTATTATATTCTATTTATAATAATAATAATAATAAAAAATAATAATAATAATATATATATATATATATATATATATATATATATATATATATGTTATAATTACTTTTTTAAAAAAATATTCCTTCGCTACATAAGAATTCTCATGTTTCAAAACCAAGAGCCGAAAACTTCAATATAATTATTAAAATTAAGCTGAATTAAAGTACGAAACTCTGTTTCATCTTTAAGCAAAAATTTAGGAATTTAGATTCTTAAATTTTCGCTTGAAGATGAAACAGAGCTTGAAAATTTATTTCAATTTAATTTCACTGATATTGATCGCTTTCTAATAAGTAACGCGCATACACTTGTTTTGGGAATCAGTAAATATTAGTCATTTATATCTGTCGATTCCCTAAGGCTAGCTTAGATGTGCCTTGCTTTGGGTCAAGTCACTCTTTGGATTACTGGCCTAGTGAATAAAAGCGTTGGTTGAAGTAATCCAATAAGTGACTTGACACAAAGAATTGTTAATTCAATACCTGGCCAGAACAGAGAGTTTTCAAGAGGAAAATTAACTGAAACTGATATATCCACTAAAGGCATGGCACGTGGAACTAGAACAATCTACCTCCGTGAAATAAATAAAAGGTTCGGTTCGAAATTCCAAAGTATATCAGCTGAAGAAAACGGAGTGAACAACGGTCAAAACGTCGTGAATATGGTGCAATAAAGATGAGGACGATAGTTCGAATGATGTAAATAGGTAAATATTGGTTGTGTATATTGGGGTCTCTAAGCATTTACTTGATGTGAGTATAGGTAAATATAGTCGGTTATATTCTAGCAGCTTCTTCCCACGAACCACTGCCATGTGGAATCGACTCCCAAAAAGATGTTTCCTCGATCTCTACAATCTTAACCTATTCAAGCTAGGATTAATCATTACCTCCCTCACCTATACACACAAATGGCCTCCTAACGTAACCCTATACATCGAGTGCTCCTGGGGCCCTGTAAAGAGTGACTCCCACTGTAAAAAAAAGAAATCATCGGTATAATCACTCTATTTTTGCAGCCTTGTGCCAGACTAAACTTATCGTTCTAAATATTTGCCAAGGAACACGCAGAATTGGGATGATTACAAAAGTTATCTTACAAATCAGTCGTTCATGAAATGGCGCCTATAAACAGGTGTATTTTTGTTGCTTTGTTTCACACTAAACTTAATAAATACCTACTTAATTTATCGGATTTCCGTGTCATATGCGCACCTATTTTTTTTAGGCTCAGTGTATTGTGAGCAAGAAATCAGATAATGTCGTGAAAGTCTTTCGAATCTTTACCACCACTCACGCGCTAGCCCCGGGGATGCACTAGTCGAATGTTGATTATCGTCTTTTCGTGCCACTCGCTGACTTTATCCGGATTCAGGCTCACTCGGCAAACACAGATAATTCTCACTTAGCTATACGGAAGCAAACGAATATATAAGCGAACCGCCCCCTACTGGCAAAAACGTGACGACACTGCATGGAAACTGAGATGCTGGCAAATTGTGTTGCTATTAACAATTTCATATTATTGGAATATTTTCATAAGATAACGTTTCGAGCTGTGGACAGTCGCTTACGTTATACTTAATTTCTGACGTGTTTATTTTTCCCCATTTATTGCTTTTTTTTATCGCAACTGCCAGGTCATTTTAGAATTTTGACGCTTATATTAGCAGACTTGGTTGTAAAGTAAACATATATCCTCTATCTTGATTAGAACAAGAATCTCGCGATATTGGTAGTACGTATGATATTGATGAAACCTTACTGACCGAACATCGGACCAAATTTACATTCATTCATATAGCTACATTGTCCTCCATACGATTTTCTCAGAAACTTATATGAATCATCGCCATCCCTTTCGTATTCTAGTAAGAATTATGTTCCATTCGGACAACTTCGAGGAAGGGTTCCGGGCTGGGCGAAACAGTCTCCCTGCAGGATGGACATAACTCCAGGCAGGATAGAAAAGATTACCGACAGGCTGAGACACCCGGCAGAATAGAATAGTGTTCCGGCAGGATGAAACAGACTCCCAGCTGGGTGGAACAGATTCATGGCAGGATGTTTTCCCAAGTACTACAATCTTGACCTAGTCAAGTCTATGGATCACCTTTTAATCTTTCCTGCACATACCCATGGACTTCACTTCTTGCTCTTTCATATGTTCATACCTCGCCACATATTAACCCTCTCCCTTGTACTGGGTGAACATTAATATTAAAAAATCTAATCGTAGAAGTCGTAATAGGTTAAATTTGTCCGACATTCGATGATGAAGTATTTTCATTAATTTTTATTTGGACAAGATTATAAGTTCGGACTCAAAATGGATTCCGGCTCGTATTTCCACACAAGATCGTTACATTCATTTAGTTGCTAATAACATTGGGAAAGGTATGAATTCAATTTTTATCAATCCCAACGATGGGTAAATAGTACGAGAGACAGGGTTAAGACTGTTTTGGATGGCAATCGGTCTAGAAGTAAAACGAGGAATTCAAAAACTGTATGTAACCCTGGTGAAGTATATACTATGCAGCTAAGGAAAGGATCTTTCGCATTGGCACGATGATCCTACGTTCGACCCTTATGTGTCATTCCTGTTATTTAAACTCCAAACTCGTTTTAGATTCTATGGCTACTGTGCAAAGTGTCTGCATTGTAAAATAAAGAATTAGCCCTCCACCATGTTCGAATCATGGTGGAGGGCTAATTCTTTCAAAAAAAGAGAGTAATGTCTCACTTGTTATCTAATTTTTGTCAAAAACAAAAATAATTTCCATGCCTGCTGATGACTGAACGAACCGTCGAAAGTACTTCCGTATTTAACGATGACCTAATACAGTTTATAACTGAAAAAAAAAAAAAACTAGGATCATTACATTCATCGAGTGATTACTGCGTTAATACAACTTTAAAATTTAGTTAGCGAATGGATTTCGCCATTTTATATAATTAACTTTACTAATTTACTTTTTGTATGAATGATTTATTTTAATATATATTGAACTGCACCACATATTTGATTTAAAAGAACTGATACGGCGTGCAAATTTTCGGGATAACAACCGAGACATTACTCTACTTATTGAACTATTTAGTTAATGTCACGTTGACTGATAAACTCCTGCAACAAAAAAAATTTTAAATTGCCATATTAGTAAAAAACGCACTCACTTAATTTTCAAAATAATTCAACCTTAGCGTTGCGACTGCTCGCTCCAAATGTTTGTATCCGTTATCAATAACACATTTCAAATAAACATATTTCAATTCGCATTATATTTTTTCGTCTCGGGTGCTACCTGAATTTTACCAAAAACAAAATAATTCTCATGCCTGATGATGATTGGACGAACCGACGAAACTACATGCATATTTAAGGATGACCTAATGCAGTTTATCACTTTTTAAAAATAAGGATGATACAATTCATCCAGTGATTAGTGGGGTAATTCATCTTTAAAATTTAGTTAGTGAAGTGATTTCGCCGTTTTATATCATTAACGTGACTAATTTACTTTTTGTATCGATGATTCATTCTAATATATATATATATATATATATATCTATATATATATATATATATATATATATATATATATATATATATATCGTCCTTTTGTACAATTTTCACTGTACCTATTGCTTCCTTATATATAGTTGGTGTAGCCGTAATAGTT